TTTCTAAGTCTTTTATAGATAAAATCTCTGCTCTGAGACCCTCCTCAACACACCTTTACACAGACCCCTCCTCACTTCCTCCATCCGCAGCCTCCTTTGAACAGTTTGAGCCGGTGACTTTAGTTGTTTTAAAGGACATCGTGGACCACATGCAATCTTCTAATTCACCTCTGGACTGTGTTCCCTCTCGTCTGTTTAAAGAAGTTTTGAACACTCCTGGTCCATTAGTTCTTGTCCTGATTAACATGTCCCTGTCATCAGGCTGTGTTCCAGCTACTTTTAAACATGCTGTGGTGCAGCCTCTCATAAAGAAGAAAAATCTCGACCCAACACTGCTCTTAAATTACAGACCTATTTCTAAACTGCCTTTTCTGTCGAAAATTTTGGAGAAAGTTGTTTTTAATCAACTTAAGAGGTTTTTAACTGCCAACAGCATTGGTGAAAAATTTCAGTCATGTTTTAAATCAGGCCACAGCACAGAGACAGCACTTTTAAGAGTTTTTAATGACCTTCTTTTAACTGTTGATGCAGGAAGCTCTGCTGTTTTAGTGCTTTTAGACCTTTCTGCTGCCGTTGATACTGTGGACCACAACATCTTGTTGTCACGACTGGAGCAGGTGGTTGGTATCAAAGGCACAGTTTTATCCTGGTTTAGATCCTACCTGACTGACACGAGTTTTTCTGTTCATTTAGGGAAATGTTCTTCATCTCCAGCTCCTCTGATCTGTGGTGTCCCTCAAGGGTCTATTTTAGGTCCATTGCTTTTTAATCTTTACATGTTGCCTTTGGGGTCCATTTTTAAAAAACACAACATCCCTTTTCACTGCTTTGCTGATGATACTCAGTTATATCTTCCGATTGAGTCAGACAGGGTCACTTCACTGGATCCACTCTTGAACTGTCTAAATGACATTAAAGTCTGGTTAAAACTAAATTTTCTGAATCTAAATGAAAATAAAACGGAAGTCATCAGCTTTGGTAAATGTAATACCCTTAATGTGCTTGGCCCCTTGGCTTCATACAGCCACTCCAATGTCAGGAATCTGGGAGTTATTTTTGACAGTGCTTTTAAATTAGACAAACAGATAAATGCAGTTGTGAAATCCAGTTTCTTCCAGCTAAGACTCATTGCCAAGGTGAAGTCTTGTCTCCCTTTCAGAGACCTTGAAAAGGTGATTCACGCTTTTATCACATCTCGTTTGGACTACTGTAATTCATTGTATGTTGGTTTAGACAAATCATCTTTGCATCGTTTACAATGTGTCCAGAACGCAGCAGCTCGTCTTTTAACAGCAACTAAAAAACATGAACACATAACCCTGTCCTGGCTTCTCTCCACTGGCTTCCTGTCCACTTCAGGATTGATTTTAATATTTTATTGCTTGTTTTTAAAGTCTTAAAAGGTCTGGCCCCGTCATATTTATGTGATCTCATTAACATCTACACTCCAGTAAGAGCACTCCGGTCTACCAACCAGTTCCTCTCAGATGTCCCCAGATCCAAACTGAAATCCAGAGGTGATCGGGCTTTTGCGGTTGCTGCTCCAAAACTGTGGAACAGTTTACCTGAGAATTTAAAGAGCGCTCAGACTGTTGAGACTTTTAAATCTTTGCTCAAGACTCATCTGTATTCCTTGGCATTTCATCCATGCAGAGTCTGAGAACAAGTTGAGCTGATTTTATTGTTGTTGTGTGTTGTTTTTACTGTTAACTTGTGTTTTTGAGTGGCACTAGATGCATTTTTACTCTTTTTTTTTTTTTTAATCTGTCTTAACTGTAAAGCACTTTGGTCAGCTTTTGTTGTTTTTATGTGCTATATAAATAAATTGACATTGACATTGGTCAGGGAGGCTGTCAAGCTGAAGAAGGTGTCCTATCGGCCCTTGTTGGCTGGTGGGACTCTGGAGGCAGCTGAGGAGTACCTGAGGGCCAAGCGGTGTGCAGCCTTGGCTGTTACTGAGGCAAAAGCTCAGATGTGGGAGGAGTTCAGTGAGGCCCTGGATAACAACCCTCAGTCGGCTCTGAGGAGATTCTGGCAAACTATCAGGTGGCTGAAGAGGGGAAATCAGCTCTTTACTAACACTGTTCAGTGAAGGTGGGGTGCTCTTGACCGCAACCAGTGATGTAGTTGGGAGGTGGAAGGAATACTTCTCAGACCTTCTCAGTCTCACCAGCACGTTTCCATGGAGGAAGCTGAGTTGGAGGACTTCGGGGTTGGTCTGTCCATAACCAAGGCTGAGGTTGCCAAGGTAATAAAAAGCTCCGAGGCGGCAGGGCTCCAGGGGTGGATGAGATTCACCCCGATTTCCTTAAGGCTCTGGATGTTGTGGTGCTGTCTTGGTGGACATGCCTTTGCAACATTGCGTGGACGTCGGGAGCAGTACCACTAGATTGGCAGACTGGGGTGGTGGCTCCCTTCTTCAAAAATGGAGAATGGAGGGTATGTTCCAATTACAGGGGCATCACTCTCCTTAGCATACCAGGTAAGGTCTATTCAGGGGTATTGGAGAAGTGACTCCAATCGTTGGTCGAACCTCAGATCTAAGAGGAACAATGTGGGTTCTGTCCTGGCCGTGGAACACTGGACCAGCTCTTTACCCTCACTAGGGTCCTCAGGGGGCCATGGAAATTTGCCCATCCAGTCTATATGGGTTTTGTGGACTTGAAGAAGGCATTTGACTGTGTTCTTTGGGGTACACTGTGTGTGTGTGTGGGGGGGGGGGGGGGGGTGCTCCATGAGTATGGGATTGGGGCCCATTGTTACAGGATGTTCAGGCCCTATACAAGCAATGCAAGTGTTTGGTTTGCATTACTAGTAGTAAAAAGGACTCCTGTCCTCCAGTGAAACCAGACATGTCTCCCTGGTCTCCCTCCCCCACCCCCACCCACTTCCCTGCTTGGACTCTTTTGTCCTGTGAACCTTAAAAAGCTTTTTTTTTTTTTTTTTCTGCATACTTCTTAATTCGAAGGTTCAGCTGGTCTCTCAACAAAATTGATCAACTTCTCCCGACAGGAGTCAGGGCATAAGGATGACCCTCTTACCTCGACAGAAACAAATTGGATTCATGATGACAACTGATTTTTTTTTGCTGTTTGGCTGGTAAATTCTGGATTGTCTACAAATTCGTGTGGATGTATCAAAACTCGACAGTGCTCAGACTGAACTGAGGGAGTGGCAGCAGGGAACTGGAGCAGCTGTTATCAGGCTGTGAACTCACTGGCAGCACTCATGAATGGTGGAATAATCTGGAGAAGCTGTGAGCTCGACTTTTGGCATAAAGGATCAATTCGGCTGTTTTGGAGTTCCATCAGAGGAATATATACCAGCGAGACTTTAAAAAAGGCAGAAAACAACAATTCACGAGTTCTGCCTGACCCAAACTGTGGCCTTGATGCCGGACTTATCTCAACTCCTCCTGGAATGTTCAGAAAACAACAAAGATGCTTTGACTGTCTCCTCACCCCTCCCTTCCCCAAGGCCGTGGACATGTGACAGAACCTGAACTGAGCTGAAGATGAACGTCACCTCTTATCTGGACAATGGCTGAGGGGGGGCTCTGGACTATGCTACGACTTTCCCTTAAAAATTCAATGTCTTCACCGCCTATATGTTCATGTATAACGTCTGTTTATGTTGCTTTGCTGTGGTAGGTTTTTTTGATGCCTCAAATTGTGCCCTGTCTAGGACACGGAGTGAGAGAACTTTTTTTTATACCGTCTCTCCTCATGTTTTCTTTTCTTTTCTTATCTAAGCAAAATATTATTCTGAATAAGAATAAGAAGGCCGTGCTATTTATAGCCGCAGCTTCGTGCACTCCGCCCATCTTTTGGACGACTGTACGTACATTTTCTCGTTGTATCTCGGTGCAATGATAATAAAGTTTATTCTGATTCTAATTCTGATTCCCTTCAGGGTGGAAGTTGAACTCCGCAAGGGCTGCCCATCGTCACCGATTCTGTTCATAACTTTTATGAACAGAATTTCTCGGTGCAGCCAGGGTGCAGATGGATTCCAGTTCAGTGGCCTCATGATTCCATCTCTGCTTTTTTGCAGATGATGTGGTCCTGTTGGCGTCATTGTGCCGTAATCTTCAGCTCTCACTGGAGCAGTTCGCAGCCAAGTGTGAAGTGGCTGGGATGAGAATCAGCACCTCCATATCCGAGGCCATGGTCGTCAACCGGAAAAAGGTGGATTACTCTCTTCAGGTTGAGGGTGAGGTTCTGCCTCAAGTGGAGGAGTTCAAGTATCTTGGGGTTTTGTCCACAAATGAGGGAAAAATGGAGCGTGAGATTGACAAATGGATTGGTGCAGTTTCTACAGTATTGCGGACTCTGTACTGGTCTGTTGTGGTGAAGAGGGAGCTGAGCTGTAAGGCAAAGCTCTCTGTTTACTGGTTGATCAACGTTCCTATTTTTACCTATGGCCACAAGCTCTGGGTAGTGACCGAAAAAATGAGATTATGGATACAGACGGTTGAAATGAGTTTCCTTTGCAGGGTAGTTGGACTCTCCCTTAGAGACAGGGTGATAAGTTTAGTTATCAGGAGAGACTCGGAGTAGAACTGCTGCCCCTCCTTATCGAGAGGAGCCAACTGAGGTGGTTCATGCATCTGGTAAAGATGCCACCTGGACACCTATCTAGGGAGGTGTTTTGGGCATGTCCAACTGGGAGGATACCCCGGGGAAGACCCAGAACATGCTAGAGAGACTGTCTTTTAGTTGGCCTGGGAATGCTTTGGAGTCCTCCCAGAAGAGCTGGAAGAGGCTGTGGAGAGAGATGTCTGGGCCTCCCTGCTCAAGCTGCTGCCCCCGTGACCTGACTTCGGAACAAGGGGAAGATAATGTATGTATGAATGGATGGATGGATGGTTGTATCAGTCTGACACGGTCTGATAGATATTGGTGTGTTTTGTTTGTCCAGTCTGACACAGTCTGATAGAAGTTGGTGTTTGTCAAATGTACCAAACTGATACAGTCAGAAATATGTTGTATGTGTTTTGGTTATACCTGGGTCATCTTCTCTCTATTAGCCTTTGGGTTTAGTGGTGCCTCTGTCAGCAGGGTGGGATGTTCTTCTGGAGCCACTCTCAATTCATTGTAGAACGAGTGATGCCAGATCTGCCCAATCAGAGAGCACTTTCAGATCAAGACTGGTTTCCTGTGTGTCATTTTTGCGTGTTTGTGTATAAAACCTTCTCCATGTCGTCCCAGTTGGTGATGATGCCGTGTTCAATGGGGTACTTCAGGGTGAGGATTCCTCTCTTACTCTGAGCCTCATCTCCCACGTAGCTGTCCTTCTGCCCCATGCCCACCATTACTCCCTGACACACACACACACACACACACACACACACACACACCTGTCAGCTCACACCTGTTTGTCACCTCGGATTGTTCTGTGAGCCTGGGCCGATCGGCCTCACCTGGTGCCTGGGTCGGCCCACAATGGATGGGAAGACGGCTCTGGGGGCGTCGTCTCCAGCGAACCCGGCCTTGCAGAGACCAGATCCATTATCACAGACCAGAGCAGTGCTCTCCTCTTCATCACACATGACTTCTTCAGTGGGTTTTGTTTCTATCACAAAAAGAAAGAAATACATAAACTATAGTTTTTAACTGTGTATTCTTATGTCTTAATTGTTACAGTTAAGAGGATCTGAAGCTCATACATGATCTGAGATCAGACACACTTTATTTGTCCAGTTGGAAGCTGGTGTAGATTTTCAGTCATGCAGAACAAATCCAAAGAGATTAAAAATAAAATCAAACAATAGGACCTCTGTTCTGTAAACATAAAGGTTTGGCTTCTCTTCTGGTGAGCACCTGGAACCAAAACCTGTCGGACAAAACACTGACACCGTCAGAGAAGGAGGCCCAAAGAACTCCATGTTTACCTGGACTTCTACACAAAGAAGGAACACGGAGCCATCGTCAGCAGCAGGAACTCTGTGACGTACAGTCTTACAGAACATCTGGCTGCTTCTTTAGCTCTGGATGGAAACACGCCCCATCATGCAGACTGGACTTTACTAACAAAGTTCACATTTGAAGATGGCTGCAGGAGACACACGAGTATCTTTGATGTCACTTCACTTTTCATTTCTTTACCCACATCATCATATGATGACCTGAACCACAGAACCAGATTCACTCTGGACTGGATCTGTACCCTGCTGGACCTTGGTCTTTCCAACATTTATAAGTTTTTACAGATAGAAGCATGCTTGTACCATGAAACACACACACACACACACACACACACACACACACACACACACACACACACACACACACACACACACACACACACACACACACACTGGTCTCTTTGGGAAAACTTCCTATTTTGGTCATACATTGGACTCCTGTGTGCTTGTTTGGTATTTTCTGTCTCTCTCTCTCTGTGTTTTAACTGTCTGTCTCTCGTCCTTAGCTCCATCTGTCCTTCCTCGTCTGTTCCTCATCTTCCTCCTAATCAGGTCTCTTCAGTCCTTATTTAGTCAGGAGCATTACGAATCCACTTTTTCAGCTGTTTAGTGCAACTGACAATTTACTATGCCCTGAGTTCTGACTCTCAGGCTTTCGATAAACTTTTTCACTATTTATTCTTGTTTTTTGTGTTGTTTTGTCTCAGTCAGAGAATGAACTGCAAGATGCACAAAATAATCATTCCTGGTTTTAAATATCTCCTGGAGCTAATTTTACCTCCTGCTGTAATTGTTTTAAAGAACTGCAGTTTAAGGTGTTTTCAGCACAATTTAACATGTTCTCGTCTACAATTTAAGCTGTTCTCGTCTACAGTTTAAGGTGTTCTCAGCTGCAGTTTAAGGTGTTCTCAGCTGCAGTTTAAGTTGTTTTCAGCTGCAGTTTAAGTTTTTTCCAGCTGCAGTTTAAGCTGTTCTCAGCTGCAGTTTAAGTTGTTTTCAGCTGCAGTTTAAGTTGTTTTCAGCTACAGTTTAAGTTGTTTTCAGCTGCAGTTTAAGCTGTTCTCAGCTGCAGTTTAAGCTGTTCTCAGCTGCAGTTTAAGCTGTTCTCAGCTGCAGTTTAAGTTGTTTTCAGCTGCAGTTTAAGTTGTTTTCAGCTGCAGTTTAAGCTGTTTTCAGCTGCAGTTTATTATTATTATTTTTTCCATTTTTCTCTCTTAAATGAAAATTTTTATTCATTGTTTGTCATTTTGAGCTCTTTATTTATAGAAAAACTAACAAATTTCTTATCTAAATTTTCTTCCATTGATTGTTTTTTTTTTTAAATGACCTCCAAGTCAGAACCAGAACCATCTTGATGCATCTGTCAGAAAGTCCAGTCAGAACCACAGCTTCATGTCTGACTCGGTCCTCATCCCAGGAGACCGGACCAAAAACCCAAAACATGAAGATCAAAGGTTCTCTTTAACGAGTCTGACCCAAAAGGCAGAGGAGGAGCATCAAGGTGCAAGAATCAGAGAAGAGGAGGAAAGGAGGCCAGTGGGGAGGTCAGAGAGGAGGAGGTCATAGAGGAGGAGGTCCAAGGGCAGAAGGAGAGGAGGTCAGAGAGGAGGAGGAGGAGAGAGTTCACAGAGGAAGAGGAGAGGAGGAGGAGAGGGACCACAGAAATGGAGGTCAAAGGTGGTCAGAGAAGAGGAGAAGAGAAGGAGAGGGGTCATATAAGAGGAGGTCTGATGGGTGAAGGAGAGGCAGTCAGAGAGGAGTTTAGATGGGTAGAAGAAGAGAGGGAGGAGAAGAGGTCAGAGAGGAGAAGAGAATGAGGAGAAGAGGTCAGAGAGGAGGAGGAGAGGAGAAGGAGGAGGAAAAGTAAAATCTTTGAGTTTTTACTCTGGAAGTGAAATTGTGAGGTGAGGAGGAACATGGAGGAGGAGATTTTGGTCAGAAAACTTTGATCAGATTTCAAAAAAAGTTCAATCTGGTCGTCTGGACATTCAAACCAGATAGAACTTTTTTGGATTTTTCTACCTGGATTATTGAGCATGCATCAGGATATTTGATCAGATTTACAGAAAGAAGAGGTGATGAAGAGGAGGTGATGAAGAGGAGGTGAGGAGATCTTACCGTGGCAGATCGGGCCCTGCTGAGACGATGTTGGAGGTGGACAAGGACAGAAGTGAGTCTGAGGTCCTGATATGGACTTTAAGAACCCTCCACCTCCTTAATCTGTACCTCCATCCAAACAAGGCTGTGTTCTCCTCCTCCTCAGTGTAATTCCTTATAGGGCAGCCTCGAGGGCAGCAGCCAATCAAAAGGCTGTGTGGCGTCTCTGAAGTTTCTCCCATCATTCAGAGCATTCCTCTGAGAGGAAGGCCTGAAATAATTTGATAACAAGTTAAAGTAGTTAAAGTGTTCCGATTACATGTTAAAGTATCCAAAATCCAAGTTTAAATATTCAGATTACACGTGAAAGTATTCAGGTTACAAGTTAAAGTATTCAGATTACACATTAAATTATTCAGATTACGTGTTGAAGTAGTTAAAGTATTCAGATTACATGCTTAAGTAGTTAAAGTATTCAGATTACAAGTTAAAGAAGTTAAAGTATTCAGATTACAAGTTAAAGTAG